GTGCTTCGAACGCACGTCATTCCCACTGCAGTGGTTATCAGCATTCAGCTTGAACTCTAGAGATCAAGAGAACATAAGAACCTTAGAAGAGCCCTGCTGGATTAGACCAGTGAAGGTCCATCCAGTCCAGCGTCCTCTCTCACACAGCGGCCAACCAGTTCCTCTGGAGGGCCAACAACAGGGCAGAGAGGCCGAGGCCTTCTCCTGGTGTTGCCTCCTGGCTCTGGGATTCAGAGGTTTAGTGCCTCTGAATGTGGAGGTTCTCCTCCGTCACCATGGCTAGTAGCCACTGATAGACCTATTCCTCGATTAATCTGCCTGATCCCCATTTGAAAGCTATTTATTCCTGTGGCCGGCACTACATCCTCTGGCAGCGAAAATTGGCTCTTTTTGTAGCAGGAACTCCCTTGCATATTAGGCGACACACCCCTAATGTAGCCAATCCTCCAAGAGCTTACAGTAGCCCCTGTAAGAAGAGCTCTGTAAACTCTCGGAGGACTGGCTACATTGGGGGTGTGTCGCCTAATAGGCAAGGGAGTTCCTGCTACAAAAAGAGCCCGTATTTCCTTTTGTTTGTCCTGAACCTACTGCCCATCAGATACAAAATCGGTAGTATTCATGTACGGTTTTGACCAACGCAGAATGCTTTTGCTGGCTGGACCGGAAAGACAGGATGTTCTGGGCTCGGAAAGTGACCCCCAAGTTACTTCTTCATCCAAATTCTTCTTTCACTTTTGTGCTAAATCAGGCCTGCATCGGTCGAACCCTTCCGTTCTCTTCTGCCATTTACAGACAATTAAGGCAATGTTGAAAAACCTTTAAGTTGTCATAGGGGAAAATGGGCAGTGGCAGGGCTTTTTTTGTAGAAAAAGCCCAGCAGGAACTCATTAGCATATTAGGCCACACCCATGACAGCACAGCTCATTGGCATATTAGGCCACACCTCGTGTTACCAGAAGTGTGCTCATCCAGCCACACCCACCTTTTGCTTCTTATTCTGTTTACCTTGTTTGTTGTCCAAACCCAGGGCCTTTTTTTGGAGCAGGAACTCCTTTGCATGTTAGGCCACACACCCCTAATGTAGCCAATCCTAATGAGTTCCTGCTGTTGGGTGTGGCCTATTATGCTAATGAGTTCCTGCTGGGCGTGGCCAACTTGGGAGCCAGCTGGAACTCTGTTCCTGTGCGTTCCTGCCCAAAAATAGCCCTGATTTAAACCCATCATTGTGAGTCCTCTCCTCTGCTGCCAACAGGAACAGCTCCCTGCCCTCCTCTAAGTGACTCAAAGAGCAATAATTTATTTTATTTATTTAGTTTGATTTGTACCTCGCCCTCCCCGCTGGAGGGGGTGTGTCGCCTAATAGGCAAGGGAGTTCCTGCTACAAAAAGAGCCCGTATTTCCTTTTGTTTGTCCTGAACCTACTGCCCATCAGATACAAAATCGGTAGTATTCATGTAACGTTTTGACCAACGCAGAATGCTTTTGCTGGCTGGAACGGAAAGACAGGATGTTCTGGGCTCAGAAAGTGACCCCAAGTTACTTCTTCATCCAAATTCTTCTTTCACTTTTGTGCTAAATCAGGCCTGCATCGGTCGAACCCTTCCTTTCTCTTCTGCCATTTACAGACAATTAAGGCAACGTTGAAAAACCTTTCAGTTGTCATAGGGGAAAATGGGCAGTGGTATACAAAACAAGGCATGAAAACAAAGGGCTTGCGGCAGGGCTGTTCCTCAGAAGGGAGCAGCAAGAGGACTGTTTGACTCGATTTGGACAATTTGCAACTTTTGATGTCAGTCTTAATCTAGGTTTGATTCGGGGGCCCTGGTGCTGATGTAGAAAACAGCAGAATTAGTACATCGCTTTGAGCCCACTGGGGAAAGCGATTAATAAATGGAAAGTATTGTTGTTGTTGTTGTTGTTGTTGTTGTTATTGTTAATATTATTATTAATAATAATAATAACAACAATAATAAATTCAGTTATGTCCCGCCTTTCTCCACAATGGGAGCCCGAAGTGGCTTATATAAATTTGGTGTAGTGGTTAGGAGCGTGCAATCTGGGAGAACCAGGTTTGATTCCCCACGCCTCTATGTGCAGCTGCTGGTGTGACCTTGGGTCAGTCGCAAGTTCTCTCAGAACTGTTCTCTCAGGAGCAGTTCTCAGGAGAGCTCTCTCAGCCCCACCTACCTCACAGGGTGTCTGTTGTGGGGAGGGGAAGGGGAAGGAGATTGTGAGCCGCTCTGAGACGCCTTTCGGTGGTGAAGGGCAGGGTATAAATCCAATCTCCCCCTCCCTGAGCGCTTTGGGAGAAGATTGGCATGGGAATTGCCTCTCCCCCACGATTCCTTAAGGTCCCCAGCCTGGTTTCTCTCAACATCTCAAAACCAACCTCTCAACATTCCATCCAACATCTCTTCTCAATATCTCAACATTCCATCCAACATTCTGCCATAGTCTAGTGTGACCAAGAAACAGGGTGGGAGTAAGAGGACGGAGGGGCAGAGCTACGCAGACAGGAGCTGGATGGGGCTCTCAGTCTTTCATGAGGCCAAATTAAAGGGGTCGCGATGTGGGACGCTGCTGGGGAGGGGCAAACTTTCCTCCAGACTCCGAGATTATCATCCCTTGCTCTGCCTGGGAACAAGGAGAGAAGAAGGAGGAGTGGATTATGGGGGAAAGCCTGGCACTTTCTCATCTCTGCCTGTCCAGCTTGGCAGACCTTTCGGACACAACAACAGTGTTTATTAGCCTTTCAGAACTGTTTGCTTTACAACTTTGACAGCTGAACTGTGAATCAAGCCTCTGGCTTTTTGCATGGGGAATATTCACCGTGCTGAAGCTGAATAGATCTGGGCACAGATGGGAGACTTTGGGGGAGGGCCTCTCTACCCTGCCATGATCTGTGAAGCAATAACAAAATGATTGACACGTGCCAGTCAGACTCCAGATGCCTTCGAGAGCCAGTGCTGTGTTCGAGTTCCTCATTTTAAAAAAGGCCTCCTCCGGGACTCTCTGATTTTATGAATGCCAGTCAGGTTGGAATCAATGAAGTGGCGCTGATATTCACGGTACATTTTTGGCTTTCTGGGAAGAAGGCAAAATTAGCAACTCCAATGGGAAACATGAAATGCGAGCATTGACTGAGCATCTCTCTAACACCAAATGCAACCTACTGGCCCTTTAGATGGTAAATATCAAGGGGCGCAAAAAGACAGGGCAGTTTTAATGTGCCAAATGTGAGGTTAATTTTGGGAGGTGCACCGGATCAAGAATCAGCATGGGCTACAGCAGGTAATTTTGCCAGTGGGGGGAGGGGGAAAGACCATAAATGCCGTATTCTCCCATGTTATCTTCCTTCAGATGAAGTCTTGCCCTCGTTTAGAAGCCCATTTCCTTGTGAGCTTCTAAAGGTGTCCGAGGCTGGCATGCTGTGACCGGTTTCAATGTCCAGACTGGCTGTATTGCACAAACAGGTCCTCGGCCCCACAGATGGGTCTCAACCACTCCCTGACTCCAACCCCCCTGGAAGGCTGAGATTCTGAACATCTGGATCTGGTATATCTCCTTTAGGGGGGTGTAGGCCTTCCACAGTTATCTCTGCAGAATGGCTCAATGGTTAAGACGCTGAACTGCGGACCAGAAGGTCGGTAGTTCAGCAGTTTGAGACCCAAGAATCTGAGACCCGAGCGCTGCATGAGGGAGTGAGCTCCTGCCTCTGGTCCCAGCTCCTGCCAGCCTAGCAGTTTGAAAGCAAGAAATTGCAAGGAGATAAATAGGGGTGGGAAGGTAACAGCGTTCCGTGCGCCTCAGCATTTAGTCATGCTGGCCACATGACCGCAGAAATGTCTTCAGACAGCGCTGGCTCTTTGGCTTGGAAACAGAAATGAGCACCACCCCCTAGAGTCGGATTCGACTGGCTTTTGAGCAAGGGTGTGGCCACCAGAAGGTGCATTGTAGGAGGTGTGACGATTTCACAAAATCTGTGTGGCCAGCCAGCTTAGACCCATGCACCAGAACAAGCAATACATGGCACCTGTACCTCCCCACGAAGATGATTTCACAAAATCTGTGTGGCCAGCTGGCTTAGACCCATGCACCAGAACAAGCAAAACATGGCAGCTAGCTGACAAAGGGAAACTTTTACCTGTACCTCCCCACCAAGGCAGGCACAGTGTGGCTTACAGGTCTAGTTGGTATCCTATAAACATTAAAACCGTAAAACCAATGAAAACCATAAAACAATTTTGTAAGGTGCTACATTCGTACGATGGTGGAATAACTGTCCTTAGCAAGCATACACAGTGAGGAATCTAGTCAGCGATAGATACGAGGCTGGCGTTCGGTACCATAACATATAATTCACTGACATGGGCACAGATGTTAAACACATGTACGAGAGCAGGCAGCCAAGGGTGGATTGCAGAGCACAGGTTCCTTGGTCGATGTTAGACTACTAGATGTGGCATCTCAATCACATGCTTGGTGGAAGAGTTCCGTCTTTCAGGCCCTGTGGAATTGTGATAAATCCCGCAGGGCCCTGATGTCCTCAGGGAGCTCATTCCACCAAAGCTCTAGCCCTCGTAATAGCCAGCCTGGCATCTTTAGGGCTGGGGGGGAGCAAGGAAATTTTGTGACCCTGCCCGTAGTACTTTCTGAAGAACATGTGGGGAAAGGCGGTCCCTTTCTGGCTAGGAGGACAAGCTTGGCTTTTCATTCCTTAGTTCCCAGAGAAGGAGGGAAGTGGAAAACACCTGATTAACCCCTAAATAATTGCCAGTCAGGGCTGCCGTGCTAATTGGCCTGAGTCATTAAGGGGTAATGGCCAGCTGCTTTGTGTATTTAAAAAAAAATTCTGGATACGATCTTCCAATAACAAGCTCTTTAAAATATATATATATATCCTCTTTTAACTTGCTGCTTCTCTTTCTCCTCCAGGAAGAAGACGTTGGAGGACATTAACCCTTAGCTTCCCCGACGTTTCTCAGATTGGGACGAGGGGCATGGATCCGTTGTATTTCCCCTCTGCCCTGAGCATGGAGTCTGGTTCTCCGGATGCCAATGCCTCCTTGCGGGCAAACGCGACTAACAGTACTTTTCCGGGGTACCCCATCCCCCCCGAAGTCCAGACCATCCTCATTCCTATCATTTACCTCCTGGTTTGTGCCGTTGGACTGAGCGGGAACACCCTGGTCATCTACGTGGTCTTGCGTTACGCCAAGATGAAAACGGTCACCAACATCTACATCTTGAACTTAGCCATCGCCGACGTGCTGTTCATGCTCGGTTTGCCGTTCCTGGCCACCCAGAATGCCATCTCCTACTGGCCCTTCGGTTCCTTCCTATGCCGCCTGGTTACGGCGTTCGATGGCATCAACCAGTTCACCAGCATTTTCTGCCTGACTGTCATGAGCCTGGACCGCTACGTCGCCGTGGTCCACCCCATCAAGTCCACCAAGTGGCGCCGTCCAAGGGTCGCCAAGTCGATCAGCGTGGCGGTCTGGACGCTCTCCTTTTTGGTGGTGCTCCCGATGTTCATCTTCGCCGACGTCCAGGAAGACCTGCACTTCTGCAACATGAACTGGCCAGACCCCATCGACATCTGGTCCGCCGTGTTCATCATCTACACGTCCGTCTTGGGCTTCTTCGGCCCCTTACTGGTGATCTGCCTCTGCTACTTGCTGATCGTCATCAAGGTCAAGTCATCCGGCATCCGAGTCGGCTCCACGCGGCGCCGGCGCTCGGAGAGGAAAGTGACCCGGATGGTGGTCATCATCGTCCTGGTCTTCGTCTTCTGCTGGCTCCCCTTCTACATCATCAACATCGTCAACTTGATCTTCATTTTGCCCGAGGAGCCCATCTTGGTGGGCGTGTTCTGCTTCGTGGTGATTCTCTCCTACGCCAACAGCTGCGCCAACCCCATCCTGTACGGGTTCCTCTCAGACAACTTCAAGCAGAGCTTTCAGAAAGTCTTGTGCCTCCGCAAAGGGAACGGTGTGGAAGACGGCGACCCGACGGAGCACCGCCTGGAGAAGAGCAGCCGCCTGCAGGAGGTGATGTTGCTCCAGAGGAGCATCGACTCCAATGGGCACATGCAGACGAGCAAGGTGTAGAGAACCCGGGGTCCCTGAGACAACTCTAAGTGGACTGAAGTGCTTTACGGTGGGGACAAATACCACGGGTGGACGGTTGATGAAAGGGGAACCACCAAATCCACAGTGTATATAGATTCAGGGTGGGAAAGAGGTTTCCTTCTCGCTAAAGACTTTGTGACGCCATCATCTTTGGTGCCATGAAAACCTTTGGAAAGGCTGGTGGCCAAAATAACCCTCATTTATTGTGCAACTGAATTATCAGTTTTTCTCTACGTGTCCGAGAGGATGGTGCAGAGTCGTTTTCTGTTGCCCCAGAAGGTCGGACGAGAACCGACCGGTTGAAATGAAATGAGAAGCGTTTTCGGCGAAACAATAGGAAGAGCTTCCTGACAGTTGGAGTGGTTTCTCAGTGGAACAGGCTTCCTCGGGAGGCGGTGGGCTCTCCTTCTTTGGAGGTTTTCAAGCAGGGGCTAGAATGGCCATCGGACAGTGCTTAGTTCTCGTGACCCTTTCTTACACGCCCAGGGAAATGCTGATCGCCACTTTGGGGTCAGGAAGCAATCTTTCTCCAGGCCAATTTGGCCAGGGATCCTGGAGGTTTTTGGTCATCTTCTGAGCATGGAACAGGGGTCACTGCGGGTGTGGAGGGGAAGGTATTTGTGAATTCCCTGCATTGTGCAGGGGGTTGGACTAGATGACCCTGGAGGACCCTTCCAACTGATTCTGTGATTCCAACCAAAACTCAAAGTAGGCCTATGAACGCGGCTTGAGTCTATACAGACCGGAGGGGGTCTTGCTTCTTGCTGGCCGCCATCCCCCTTAGGAAGCCTTGGCCATTCTTTGGCTATGAAACGGGCGTGTCGGTAGCACCGAGCGGCACCGTGTGGAATATTTACCTTCATCTCATGCGAGCCTCTTTCTGGGTGCGCTACCGCTTCTTCTGCGCACGGAGCGATATGCGTGGCCAAGCCCAGTGAGCCGAAACCTTTCCAGGTCACACTCATAAGCTTCCGTTCCAGTAGCTTGCTGTTCCCCTGGCCCGTAGCCAAGATTTTTTAAATTCGGGAGGCCTTTAAATGAGTCGGGGCACCCCGCACAGACACACCCAAGGAAGCACCACAAATAAAATTTAAAAATGGAAGTCTAGATAGGGAGTGGGGGGCTTGGTGGTAAGTCGGGGGGGCAGGCCCTGAGACACCCCACTGCAGCTACGGGCCTGCCCAGGCCTCTGGTGAGCCGGGACAGAAGCAGCCGCCCGCACAGCAGGGGTACCTCTGGGGCAATCCGTGGGTGGGCTGAGTGAATGCGGCGGTTCACGACAGGGCACGTGCAAAGCCCCTCCCCGTGTGCTGAATGGGCTGCTAAATTCTAGCAACATCCCCGCCCGTCAACGCAAGAAAGGCCCAGATGGCATACATCCGAGAGTTCTGAAAGAAATCAAATGTGAACTTGTAGATCTCCTGACAAAGATATGTAATCTTTCCTTAAAATCTGCCTCCATTCCTGAGGATTGGAAGGTAGCTAATGTCACGCCCATCTTTAA